AATTATTTTAGAAACTTTGACTCACCCCAGTCAGGGGTGTTGTATTATACATACAAAGATGTTGTATATAAGATTTGCTGTAAGGATTGCGATTCGTCTTATACGTCTGTCAAACCGGCAATTTGCTGATCTAACGCTAATTGTACATACATCTGCAGTTAATGAACATGTGGCACTTTAGATGACCTTGCGATGCGCTCCCGCCTGCCACAATCCAGACAAGTCGCGTCTTCTGCAGATATATTATAAATCGCAATCTGTTCGCGATAAGTTAATTTGATCGATCAAAAACAAAGATAAGGTTGCCCTGGCGCCGATTAATAAGTCAACAGGACGCGGTAAGTGAAATTCTGGGTCGGCTAGTTGTATATTATGCGGTATTTTGAGTCTCTCGTGGGAAGATTTTAGCCGGCACTAAGTCTGATATGGTGGGAATGGATAAACATATTAACTCTTTGCTGAATTCGCTGTATAGCGATTGAATAACGATTCGAATAACGCCCTTGGATACGGTGTTCATAGAATTTTAATCGCGCCGATAGGCAATGAGCACGCGGTTACGGAAAGTTTTAAACGTCTTGCAAAACTTTCGAAAATGAAACTGCGGCCGTGGCGCATGTATCTAACAACGCGCGACATTTAATCAGATTACGTTCGCGATCTTGTATGAATATAGTCGCGCCATTAATTGCGGTGCGAAGTTGGGCAAAATCGATGTAAGACATGTCGCGTTATAATTTTCAGACTTCTCTATCAGTCAAGCGGTTCCTTCGGCTTTCGACTCCATCGCATCGGTTTTTATCGTTGCCGTCGGAAATTTGTTTGAGTGTAATAACGTATTGTGCCGTTTTTTATATATGGTGCAACTAGTATAATTACAAAACTTGCCTCTGTGTGATCGCATACAATAATTGTAACAGAGCCCAGCGTTTTATGACTTCAATACGCTTAGAGACGTCTAATTGTTTAATTTTTCGCATTTGAATAATGGGTGTTGTCCGTTTTTACATGCCACGCAATTATTCTTTACATTGACCACGAAAGCTTTATTAGAGAATCGTCCCCTTTTAGCGGAGGGCGAATTCTTTTCGTCGTCTCGCTTTAATGCTTCCGAGCACGTACGTTTAGATACGCGAACTGCAGTTTGGTATAGAAATTCGTATAGATCATCGATCTTTGAAAATTCGCCCCGCTTAAGTGTCTTCTCTCATTTTTCCGCCGTATTTTTCGGTAACTTGCTCTCTAATACATTGACGATTACCTCGGAGCCTACGTCGACCCCCAGCAAGGCTAGAGACGCGACATATTGTTGCGCGTCATCGGTGAGTTTCTATAAGCTTTTGGTTGTTCCTTTTTCTAAAACGGGGAGATTTATAAGCAG